GCTGAGCTCTCAACCCAGCGAGACAGAAGCGGAAGGTGGTTCTTAAAGAGACAGAGGCCAATTTCAAGGCGTTTAGAAGAGGAAGTGATAAGATAAGTTTATTTTCTATTTAAACATAAAAACAGCATTTTGATAACAGCTAAAGTTGACATAGATACTTTGTTATAGTATAGTATATAAAATGTATGCCTGAGAAACACATTATATTACCCCTTTAAATCGATTTATCACCCAGCCCTAACCCTGTGTTAAACTGTAACTCCATCCATGATTTCAGTAGATGCTACCGCTGCAAATTCAACAAATGACCATTTTTTTTTAGTTCTTTACAACCTTTACAATGTTGTGATAGTGCCTTTTTAAGTCTTTATTTTTGAAAGAAACGTCATTAGTTTTCAAAAACATTCAAATTATACTCTAACAGTTGATGAYTTGATATTTAGGAACAACATCTGCATAATAATTTAGAATACATTTTATGTATGTAGTTAAAAATGACATGCAGAGGTTTGGTGTGACTTAAGGCCCTGTCACACAGACAACTTATACCAACTTATGAACATTTTAAAGATGTCTATGTTGAAGCTGGAATTGAAAAAAATCAGCAGGAAGCTTCTTTTCGGCATGTTGTCATTCTAACAAATTGATCAAATGCATAACTTTTATTAGCAATTTAGACATAAAAATATTTTACAAGTTGGCATAAGTTGTCTACTGTGACAAGACATTAAGGAGGATGCAAATAATCAGTTGAGGAGACCCCTAGAGGGAGCAGCATAAAGACATGAGACTTTCAGACTGACCAGACTTGAGGTGAACTCATGTGTGCAGAAACCAAACCTGTTCCATGTTTTGTACCTTCTACTGGAGGCTTTTCTATCATGCTTGGATCCTTGATGCTTTTCTCCTTTAGGATTTTTAGAATTTTCTGAAACTCTAGATAAATGTTGTCCATTTCAGTGTGGAGCAGCAGAGACGGGTCAATCAGAATTGTGTTAGTGTCGACAGCATCTTTCAGCTTTCTGTGGAGAAGGTGGAGAGGTAAAAACTGCAGGAATGAAACAACTGGACTTTGGTTCTGTKTCAAACTCTCTGACTCAAACAGAGAACTTACCTGATCTTCAGGAAAACTTCCTCCATTTTCTCCAACTTCGGCAGAGAAAGACTCGTCAGATTGCCGAGGTTGCCCAGCTCGGAGTGCAGGTCCAGCATCTGTTGCCAGTGGCGACTGTCAATGAAGTGCTGGTTGTTGCCAAGGCGAGGGATGAAAGTCCTCATCCTCTGGGCTGCTTTCTGGACATGGGTGATGTTTTCAGTCCACAGGGCAGTGCACGGGTGGCACTTCTTGCAGATTGGAAACGTGGAGTGACCCGCTGCACACTCATCACAGAAGGTACCAGAGACTCCAACACGACAAATGCACTCGCCGGTTTCAGGGTCACATGATGGTCGTGCAGCTCCTTCCARGTTACAGTCACAGGCTGAGAAAAGGATCCCAGTTTCAGTGACTAAGAGTGAAACTCTGAATTAAACAGTGTGAGGAAATGTTGGAGCTTTTTACCCACAGATGCACTGCAGGTCTGGATTTCCAAAATGGTTTTCTCCACATTCATCGCATCGTCTTCCTCCGAACTCAGGACGACATGAACACTGTCCCGTCACCTGAAGGCAGCACAGCTTCAGTCTGTAAACACTGAACCAACTGTTCCTTCTTCTCTGTGTTTCAGTCTGACGTTATATTCTGTCATATACAAAGTTAGTACCTTATTATCTCGGTCTGACAACTGTCACTTTAAATAAGGCATAGCAAAAAAGAGCGCAATGACAGCTAAACACCAAGAGTAGCAAAACACCRGCTAAAAGCTAAAGACAGCAAAAGTCTAGCTGAAAATCTAAAAGTAGGAAAAGACTACCCAAATAACAGGATATAGGATGTGGCCCAGGTCTGGTAATAATGACACTGCTTTTAAGATGGGATGTCTCAACTGGYCTTATTGTAGTTTGGCTCATGTAGTTCTGTTCTGGTCTATACATGGACCACCTCTGGAAAACCACATCTGGGCCACCAAAGGGCCATCATTCTTTGYTTTMTCTGTTCAAAGTGTTAATGCATTGTGTGGGCCAGAATTGAACCAGACACAATTTGCTAAAAGCTACAGTATTGTTAGGCAGTAGACTACCTAAAAACTAMAARKWA